ATGGTCCCACAATTTGTGATGCTTCATTAAAAAATGCACATGGAGGACAAAAAAAACGGTCCTAAGTTTGAGGTACGTGAAGGCCATTTAACCTTGTCAAGAAAGAGCAAATGAAGCACTGTGGATTATTTTTTTTTCCCGGTCAGAAAAGTTAACATGGTTAGAGAATTAAATTTGTAACAGAGTAATCTTAAAAATTTCTATACAGGTATCTATTTTGAAATCTTCTTTAGTTAAAAGAAGTAATTACACATTTGAAATTATTTTGTTTGAATTTAACCTTGTCAAGAAAGAGCAAATGAAGTACTGTGGATTATTTTTTTTTTCCCTGGTCAGAAAAGTTAACATTGTTAGAGAATTAAATTTGTAACAGAGTAATCTCAAAAATTTCTATACAGGTATCTATTTTAAAATCTTCTTTAGTTAAAAGAAGTAATTACACATTTGAAATTATTTTGTTTGATTTTAGTGCCATACAAACAACACATACAGACTACCAGCTACTTTAAAAGGCAATTAGGCCTCAGAGTGAGACAAGGTTAAAGCTGTTTTGTTGTTTCATTTCGTTTTGTTGTTTGTGGTGTTGTTTTAATAGTTGATTCACTGTTGCACAGCAGTACTTGCAAGAGCTCTTGACTAAGTAAAGCAACATCAGGGATAAAAAGATAATTTAGAACATATACTATCCACCACAATGACTCCAATTTTGTTATTCTATTCCCACTTTTCCACTATCACTAGTTGCTATGTATTTCTAGATTAATGCATCACAATGACTCCAATTTTGTTATTCTATTCCAATTTTTCCACTATCACTATCCGTTATGTATTTCATTAATGCAATTTTATTAAAAAATGCAGTTGTGAGACTGCAAAGCCATGTCACTAATATTAAAATTAAAAATGGAACATTGTTTTGCTCTGATAATTTTTTTTATTCTTGAAATTAAATAAAATCCTCTTTTAGAATAACTACATTCATTAAACCCTAGTATCCTACAACATCTCTTCCAACCTGAATGATTCTATGATCTTATAATTTATTTCTATCAGTTGGAAAACACTTGGATAATTTGATCCTCAAACGTGCCTTTGTGTCAGAGCAGCACAAGCACGAGATGCAGGGGACCTGAAGTGGAAGGGCCTTTCTGCAGCCATCATCGCCTGCACCTTGTTGTCCCCTGCATCTTCACATAGTAACTGCCATCCACTAACTTGCAGAAATGGTATCAACCAAACTTCCAGCTGGAAGGTCTAACCACGCCAGCTTACCCAAAAAGCATTTGAAGTAGGTCCAGCAGCAGCCAGACTGCTGAGGCTCTTGGTGCCCGCTACACAGCAAAGGAGGAAGGGTGAGCACGCTCCCCCTCAGCTAAGGAACCATTTTGCTCATAGGCACACGAGTTCCTTGAGAACATGTAGTGAATTTGTGAATTAACAAAGTCACCATCTGGAGAACTTGCCTTTTAGACTAGCCTGCATAAAAGGAACTGAGTCCCTGTTTGATTTGTACGGGTTTGGTGTGGGATTTTTTAAACACAATGAGCTCATGAAATGAAGTGTACAGACTACATTGTCCTGTAAATTTTGGGAGATCCAAACAGACTGTGACAGCAGTCTATGTAAAAAGTAGGTTTTGATGATATGCCTGAGAGGACAAAATTTGCTGCTTGCCTACTAAGTTGTTCAAAAGCTTCTGACTTCCAGGATGTGCAATATTGCCAGAACTCATGGTTCACGTCCACCCTGGAAAGCTTTACCAAGCAGAGACTCCCAGAGCAGCCACAGCTTCCAGGACTCTCCAGAAGTAGACAAAAATCTTAAGGTCATAATTTTGACTACATTTTGTTTTATTTAAAAACAGTTTCCTTACAGAAAAAGGAGTTGAGATTTTGAACTTACAAAATTGAAGCACTTAATTTTTACAGTTTGTTTGGCTTTGACTTAAAAACAAATCTTTATGAAACAAGGGAAAAATTAAAATCTGAGTCAGGTGAGAGTCAGAAATATGAGATCCATGAAGATTCCCCATACTGAACTCTGCTATAAGAGTCTGTCAAACAACAGTCAGAATAATACTGGTAGTAGAATATTATTAAGTGTCAGCTGTAGTATCAACTGTATCATTATGAGGATGTAACAGCAAGAGATGCTCCTAGCTTACCTTTGGAAAAATAACCGAGTAAGACTAGACTAATCAGACCGCAAGACTGATGCAATCCTTTCCCTCTCCTATCATGACTTAGAAAGCTCTTGATTAAAACAAAATCTTTGGAGTAGAAATTAAGAGAGTCATTTGAAGATACAGAATTGATTTTCAATAATTTCTGTAAGCCTGGAGGGACTCCAAAAGCTGTGGCTATACTTAAAACCAGTAAGTGAGATGACTCAGGCAACCTCTGCCCCATCAGTCTGAGTTCCAAATAAAGTAACTGAACTCTGCCATTCTGAACTATTAATAAAGCTTTTAGTAAGACTGTGTAAAGTAAGACAGGCATGTTTAGGGCAGCTAGACTTTGTTTGATGATAATTAGTTTTAGGCAATAAAGGCTTTGAGGTACACAGGTGACAGAGACCCTTGGCATTTCAGCTCACTCTCTCATACAGGTTGGGTCACTCAGCCAGGTCCCATTTCCTATTAATTACTACAATAAAAGGATCCCCAATGAGTTGTTAACACTGCCCTGATTGCCTGGCATTACAGGCAACAAAAATGCAGCTTACAGGCCTACCTCCTCTCCACTGCCTTCCTGGTACCACTGTAAGGATTACATTCTCACACACAGCAGCACTAACACAAAGGCAACAAGTGTGGGTTATTTCAGAGCTCACCTGAAAGTCAGGGCCCAACGATGTAGTGGGGAACTTTGCTGCTCAGTTCAGTGGGACTAGTTTTACCGTGCCAACATCCTCAACATGTCCATATTCAAGTTAAGAGTCTAAGAATGAAAAAAAAATAAAATTCAGGGCTACAGACACAGTTTGTAATTTACAAGGGGCTGCACAGAAAGGTAGAGAGCTACACTAGTTTGAAGTACAGCAGAAAGCAACACTAAAGGACTTCCACCTGAGATGACTGTAGTTACTTTTCAGGTGGATCTATCTGGTCCAAGCCATCCCCAACACCTTCAGCTCTGACTGTAGCCACAGGAACTGAAGATGCTCAGCAGATCGTTAACATCTCTTAGGATGTGGCCAAATAATTCACACAACATCACTTCAGCAACAGCTAAGAAACATCAAATTTGTCATTTGAGACTGTTTCAACTTTGTTTTCTACAGTTCCTCATTTTAAGTTCAATATTTTACTATAAATTCTGCACAAAACATAGTTACAACAAAAAGCAAAGGTTGACATGTTCTTCTCTTGTACTTCAAAGTCCTAGGCAGCAACAACAACAAAGTCATTCTAAGAACTACTCTGTTGAATATAAGCCAAGTAAACAAAACAGCTGTTGTAGATTTTTAAGTGATATTTTCCAGTTTCTCTTTTAGTCAAAAATACTGACAAGCACTTCTAAACTTGCCCTGAAAGAAGAGTTAATCAAAACTTTTGAAACACCGTTTAGGTTCCATTAAAGTAATTTCAGCTTTATTTTAAGGAGGGTTCACTCATCATTAATCAAGGATGTCAGTGAGCTCTTTGGCCTAATGGTTTTGCATACAAATAGGAGGCTAACCATAATGGCTCCAAACCAGCCAAACTGACAAACATTTCCAGCAGCCTCATAGCAAGAGATCAGACTGCATTTTCTAGGAAACCAGGCTGCTGTTACCAAAACTCACCATATGTAATGCTGCAAATCCCAATGCATCACCTAATATGCAAAAATATTTAGCATTGTTAGTATCACAACAGGGATAAAATTAAGCAAAATATTCATAGCAACTTTGGAATTATTAAGCTATTAACAGATTTATATACAATAAATTATTTCTTTACAATAAAATTAGCATCCCTTCTCAAAATGTGTCCATGCCAATTTCCATTTCCAATAAAAGCAAAACAGGCATTATCTCTCTCAGGTATTAGAGAGCTCTGGGAGTGAATTAAAGAATAAGGCCAGGAATGGCTTGAAGGTTTGCTTACCTAAGTATGACTTAGCAAATGTAGCCTGACTGACCACAAAGAGGGGCCTGCAACCCCTGCAGAGCTACGATAAGTAACAAGACAGGAAGGCTGGCACGTAGGCAACAATCGTGAGGCCAGCACAATGTTATCTTATCTCTGACAAATGGAGAACTCCAAGAAGGAGGTAGCGTATGGTAATGAATTACTGGAAACTAATGAATATGTTAAAACACCTTACATGAATATGTATGTATGTGTGCATATATGTTGTCAAACTGACTCCGTCTGACACGCACATTTGGAGGAGCGATCCCCTGTGCGTCCAGCGCTGCAATAAAGAATACCTGCTTAATAGTCATCCCGGCTATTGAGTCCTGATTTCGTCTTTCACGGCATCAATTCTGGCACCCCAGATGGGACCCTCTCTGCTCGGCTGCAGGACCCGCTGAGAACAGGACTCCCTAGGGTACCCCCGGGACCTTCCCGGAGGGACTCCTCGCCTCATACGGATCACTGCGGGAGCAGACAAGGACCGTCTAGAAAATAAGGTATTCTTTTAAAAATTAAAAAAAAAAAAAGACAAAAAAGAAATGGTTTTGGTATTTGGGACCGGTCATTTGGGGTTCCCATAAGTCGTAGGAGACGTCCTACGCAGGGCGCTGTATGCCAGGCTACTAGTGCCTGAGGGCAGACTGTGTACGTGAGTTCTGCTGCGCAACTCAGGTTGTGCTGCGCTCTCTTGTGTTACGTACACTTGGTTTGGGTTGTGTACGCGGGTATAGGCACATGCTGTGCTTTGTACACTTGGTTTGGTTTGTGTATGCAGGTATGAACACATGCTGTGTTTTGTGCTCTTGTATTTCATACACTTGGTTTTAGTACGTTGGGTACGGTCGTAAGTCGCGAGCTAGGTACCTTTGCATTAACGTACATTGTGGTGGTAGTAACTTGTCGGTATTGAAATTGGAACTGTTTAAAGGAATTGTTTATTGAAAGCTGATTTGGATTTGATAAAAGGTGTGTGAATGAATTGAGCTAGCTCCTGTATGTATGATTTGAGTGACTGAGACGCGGCGCAGCTGCGAAGCGAGTGCGGAGTTCTGATCCGCGGTTCCGTTATCCCGCGAGGGGTGCGGCCGGAGACGAACGAAGTGAGTGTATTTTGTTTGTCAGATAAATGTGACCGGTCATGTAAATGAATATTGTTCCCTCCATAACGGGTGTAAAGCAAGCAATAAGTGTTGAATGTTAAAATTGTTTTAAGATATTTTATGCTCATTGGTTTGGGTCTAATCCAGATTGTACTGATTTTGAGTGCCCTAATTGTCAGCTGTGGATGCAGTGGGAGGAACATTAGGGAGATAATTTTATCCTCTAACTGTACTGTGTGGGGAGTTAAATTAATAAAGATGGGAGGACAGCAAAGTGGCGGAATTGTGAAAAAGAGTCCTATAGGATGTATTTTAAAACATTGGAAAAATATAGAAGGACCGTCAGGTGGGAATGTGAATAAGAAAACTTTGATAAAATATTGTAATTAATGGTGGCCCTTATATAAATTAGATGATGGAGAAAAGTGGCCCTTTAATGGGACTCTGAACTATAATACTATGTTGCAATTGATGTTGTTCTTACGGAGAGAAGGAAAATGGGATGAGGTTATGTATGCGGATATGTTTTTCACTTTGTGAGGTCGTCCTGAGTGGCAAAGGGACTGTGGATTTGGTGTGCTGCCACAAGACCCTCTAGTTTTGTCCCTCGAGAAAGGACACAACGATAAAAGGAAGGGGCAGCAGAAAATGAAGAGGTGTTGCTCGGCATGTAGTATTGGACAAAGGTGTTTAAAAGTAACAGAATCCAGGAAGAGTAAAGAGGAAACAGAGGATCAGCTTGAGGATTTGGGAATGCCCCCCCCTCCATTGCCAGATCCGCTTTCTCCACCCCAGTCGCCATTCCCTGAGACAGAGGGTGGCGGCAGCGGTGAGGAAGAAGGGGGAGCGGCAACTGCTTTTACTCCAGTTACTGCAAGAACCAGAGATAAGGGATCTGGAGAAATTACTTGAAGAAGCCTGGAGAGTTTTTGGAAATCGGGAAGATGTGGATAGGGGATTTAGAGGACCTGGAAGAGGGATGCCTTTTGGGACTAGAGGAGGACTAAGGAATTTGGCAAGAGGTAGAGGTGTTAATGTTGGAAATGTATTGGAGCGGAATCAATGTGCATATTGCTGGAAAAAGGACACTGGAAAAATGAATGCCCTGAGTTTAAAAATACCCCACCTGCCCTGATAGCTGAAACAGGGACTGATTGATGGGGACCTGAGGCATCTACCCTAGCAGATCCACTGGTCAAAATAAAGCTAGGGGAACAAGAGAAAGAAGTTGAATTTTTTATAGATACAGGTGCCTCTTTCTCTGTTTTAAATCAAGAAGTAATGCCTGTAAGCAAGGATTTTGTAAATGTGATAGGAGCCACTGGCCAGCAGAGAAAGGCGTTCTTTTTGGAACCCCTTAGATTTAAATTAGGAAAACAGATCGGATTACAGTACTAGACCTAAAAGATGCATTCTTTTGTCTGCCTTTGGCTAAAGAAAGTCAAAAGTTGTTTGCTTTTGAATGGGAAAGCCCTACCACTGGTAGGAAAACCCAGCTTACTTGGACAGTGTTACCCCAAGGTTTCAAAAACAGTCCAACAATTTTCAAAAATCAATTAGCACGTGAGCTTGAGGCATGGAAGCCTCATTCCAAAAACAGAACCCTTTTACAATACATGGATGACCTATTAATAGCAACTGAAACAAAACCTGAGTGTATCCAATGGACTGTGAGCTTGTTAAACTTTCTTGGACTAAATGGATATCGAGTCTCTCAACAGAAAGTTCAAATGATACAACAGCAAGTGACCTACCTGGGATATGAATTATCTGGAGGACAACGGGAGTTGGGAACTGGACGAAAGGAAGCCATCTGTAAAACCCCACTTCCTCAGACGGTAAAAGAACTCAGAACCTTCTTGGGAATGACAGGTTGGTGTCAATTATGGATTTATAACTACGGAATAATAGTGAAACCTTTATATGAACTCTTGAAAAATAATCCCACTGGATTGATATGGTCCAAAGAAGCTCAGAACGCATTTGAAATACTTAAAAAGGAACTCATGAGAGCCCCAGCCTTGGGCTTGCCTGATGTAACCAAACCTTTCTGGCTCTTTTCTCACGAGAAACAAGGAATAGCTCTAGGAGTTTTAGCTCAGCGGCTGGGACCATACAAAAGAGCCGTAGCTTACTTCTCCAAACAATTAGATGAAGTAAGTAAAGGATGGCCAGGATGTTTACGAGCGGTAGCGGCCGTAATACTAAATATTGAGGAAGCCCGGAAATTTACTTTGGGCCAGAAGATGACAGTATTGGTTTCACATACGGTATCCGCTGTATTAGAACAAAAAGGGAACCACTGGCTTTCCCCATCCAGGTTTTTGAAATACCAGGCCATCCTTGTTGAATCGGATGACATTAAAATTGAAGTGACTAACGTTGTGAACCCAGCCTCTTTCCTTAGTGGAGCAACAACTGAACCACTGACGCATGACTGTTTGGAAACAATAGAGACTGTGTACTCCAGCAGACCAGACCTGAAAGAAGAACCCCTGGAGGACGCACAGGATTCCTGGTTTACGGATGGAAGTAGCTTTGTCCGACAAGGTATCCGTAAAGCTGGATATGCGGTGACCACAACAAATAAGGTAATTGAATCCCAACCACTGCCTATTGGGACGTCAGCTCAAAAGGCTGAGATTATTGCTTTGACTAGAGCTTTGGAATTGGCAAAAGGGAAAAGGATAAATATATGGACAGACTCTAAATATGCTTTTGGGGTTGTTCATGCCCATGGAGCAGTCTGGAAGGAACGAGGATTGCTTACTGCGCAAGGAAAACAAACCAAACATACAGAAGAAATACTTCGTCTACTGGAGGCAGTACGGTTACCAGCTAGCGTCGCCATCATGCATTGTCGAGGACATCTGAGGGGCTGATTATGAGGCTAAACAGGCAGCAGAAAGAATACAGAAAGAACAAATTCTAGCCTTAATTTTTCCTTAAAAGGAAACGTACCAGGAGACCATTGGCAAATTGATTTTTCCGAACTCCCAAGAAAAGGGGGGTATAAGTACTTATTGGTGCTTACAGACACCTTTTCTGGATGGCCAGAGGCTTTTCCCTGTAGAACAAACCAGGCAAGAGAAGTGACTAAAGTGTTATTGAACGAGATAATACCTCGATTTGGAGTACCTATAGTCATCTTATCAGATGGAGGTACTCACTTCTGTGCACAAATAGTGCAACAAGTTAGCAAACTATTGGGAATTGATTGGCAGTTACACACCCCATATAGGCCGCAGGCCGGTGGGCAAGTATAAAAAATGAATCACATGATAAAACAGCAGATAGCCAAAATATGTCAAGAAGCAGATTTGTATTGGTATCAAGCATTACCCATAGCTCTGCTTAGACCATGAGTAAAGCCAAGAGCTAAAGAGAACCTAAGCCCTTTTGAAATATTCTATGGGAGACCATACCAGACAAAATATAAAGGAGAAGATTTAAATCAGTTGGGTAATTCCTATTTACAAAATTATGTTATTTCTTTGGGAAAACAATTAGAGAAAATCAATAAGACTGTCCTAGGAAACAGAGTTAAGGGATTGGATCATCCTATCCATCCCTTTACTCCTGGAAGTTGGGTTTATATCAAGAATTTCTCAGGTAATCCACTGGAAGAGAAGTGGAACGGACCATTCCAAGTGCTACTGACCACCTTCACTGCAATCAAAGTGAAAGAACAGCTGTCCTGGATTCACTATTCTCGCATAAAAAAAAAAAAAAAAGAAAGCTCCAGACAAGCAATGGACTTCTGAACCTTTAGGACCCTTAAAACTAAGATTACAAAAGACGGCTTCGAGTCGTAAGAAAGATCCCCTACTTGAGCAGAGATGGACCTCCGAATGTAATGGATCAGCAAAACTGCGATTCTGGAAATCATTATTGTGATCTTCTACATCACAGCTGGATGGACAGAGAACTGCACCACCCATCAAGATCTAGATGATGTCCCTGACCCTGAAGACTGGACCAGGAATGGATATTTGGGCAATGCAGGTTTGAATATCACATATAAGACGACTAAGGTATACAGAGTTTTAAAAATTTATGGTCAGATTAGAAGAGATTGGGGAAATTCACGACAAATACCGTCTTTTGAAATAAGAGAGAACAGCTTGGTTGATATAGCATGTAAATTTGATATGGCACAAGTGTACCTAACCACTGTAATGATGGTTGGCATTTACGTATACAATTTAGAAGAGCCATAACAATGTATATTCTCGGCAGTATGTACACTTCACCAAGAATACTGTCAAGCAGAGGTTCAACCTAAAGTTAGTTCAATAATTAGGTGCATAGGAGTTATACATGATGCAAGAAAAATGATAAGATCATACCAACAAGTGGCCTTGATTTTAGTCCTAAAGGATATAACCACCACACGTGGTATGGATAAAACCCAAACGATTAAATCGATTACTCTCTCTCCCCAACTTATCCCCTTTCCAAAAGTGAAACGTTCAAATACTATTCTCAATTATAATGCACCAATAATATATAAGAAATATGTAATATATGGGGAAAATATAGCATGCAAAAAGGAGATAAAAACTTTCACTCAACCATTTACCTTTAGGAGTATGGTTACTTGCAACACATCTGAAAAGGCTGAAAACATCACTATAAATATAAAATACAATAGCACTGAAAAAAGGAAATTTATCATATGGAAAGTACCAACAGCTACTTTGAAGGCTACATGTCAGCAACCTCAATGTAGCTTTACTATAGTAAATAAAAGAGAAGCAGTTTATAAGATAGGTGCACTATTTAGTCTAGAAAGCCGTTCAGCAACATTCCTATTCCCCTTTGCGCTCCATGTGCCTCGGAGAAATATAATTACTCCAAGTCCAACCACCATCCCTCTGTTTGAACCAGCTAACTGTGCTGTGAAATACCATAACCTTTCGTTCGCAGGCCCTTATGTAGTGAGACAATCCAATGAGCAGAAATTATTTCTGGACCCCACATATTCTTTAAAGAAGGTACGGGTAAAGGTACAAGCTGATATATCTCAGATAAAATCAGAATGCTTACCTTTTGTTTCGCAGTCTTAAAGGATGGAAGGCATGGTTACATTCCAGAGCTCACCACTCAAGGAAACAGAGAGATATAACAGGATGGTTTGGATTTGGACTAGGAGTTTTAAACTCGATTGATCAGGAAATAATAATTAATAAACTGAGCACAGTCACCTCTGATTTAGGACCATTAAAATAGTCTTTAATCACTCTGGCTGGAGCTCAGCAATTGACTGTTGATTTCATTTCCCTATTATCTAACCATACTACTGAGGATTTCCAAGCTGACAGAGTTCAGCAGTGTTTCAGCAAGCAGTGTTGGGAATACTCAGGGAAGGCCTATGGATTAAGAGCTTCACCTCTCCAAAATGAACTGTATTTGGCTCAGGATTTGTTCTTGGACCACTTCACCCATTTGTAACAACTGCAGAGGCCCAACATGAGCTGCATGATCCAGGTGGAAATCTCGATGCCCTGACTCCTATCCACACTAACCCAGGAGCACAACATCTTATCCTCTTTACTAACTTCACTCTTGGGACAGGGCCACTTACAAGTCACACAGAACAGGGATCCTATCTCTCATCAAATGTGACACATTTTCCTCTGATCAGCAGAGTTGGAGCCAAGCAATAGGTACGTCCACGCCCCTGCACACAGGGAAGGGGGTTAGAGGGAGAGCAGGCAGCAGGGAAGAAACAAAGTTCAGCACTGAGAAGAGATGCACACTCTATTCCGCCCATACAGCTTCAGCAGGGTTTAATCACCTGGCTACCAGCTTTGGTTCCACCAGCTACAGCTACACAAAATAAGCTGTAAAATAGGTGGTGCAGTAGGTCTTTGCCTAGCCTAGCCTATCTTCAAAGCCAGATACGCTGGGATAAACACGCAACGCTCAGAATTCAGATGAGGAATTGCATTTCTTTCACCAGATATTTTTTTTTTCCAGTGCTGGAATCCAGACTCTTAAGTTAAATTTGATGAGGATGGTATCCCTAACGTGACCATTTTTAGTAATCAGATCGGATGGTATCCCTAACGTGACCATTTTTAGTGATCAGATCTTTGATATTCTTTAATGATAGCAAATACACTTGTCCTTGGGGTAACTCCTCCAGTATTACTTTTATTCCAATATTCATGCATAGGTGCCCAATCTTGCCACTAACGGCAAAACTATCAATAGCAGGGAAAGAAAGGCAGGAGAAAAGAGAGCAAGGAACAAGAAATTAGTCTTCCCATAATAAAAAGTTGAAAGGTGTGTCATATTTTAAATAACTTTTCAGTAACTGCAAGATAAGGACCTACAAAACATCTCACATTTTTAACAGAGGGAAAATAGGTCTAATGCATTGTCTTCACTTTGTTTGCTAAAACTTTCATACTGATATCCTTACAGATAAGTAGGTTAGGACACAGTAAACAGATGACCAGGCATATTGGATGAAAATTCAAATATATTTACACTTATACTCCTCAGTCTGGTTAGAAAAAGTGATAGATTTATATTCCATTTAAGCTGAGGTCAGATGAAAACACAGAGAGGTAGGAAAACAGTTAAACATGTAAATTTTGAGAACCCATGATAATTGAAAATCTAGGTACAATTTCAAAAAAATGAAGATAAATATGCTATACCTGGGGAAACTGTATCTTCATAGATTATGTCAAAGATTAAGACATGCATAATTGATTTAGCTAGTTTAAGACAAATGAGACACATGGAGAGCCAACAAAGTAATAGTTTTAAGGAACATTCATTAAGCTTAACTAAGTAAAATACAGTTTGTAACATGCAGAGTAGCTTCCATAATTTGCATGTACTCAGTTTTCATATTTTTATTAATACATATATATAAAAGATCATACTGACAACTGAAGAGTTCTAGGTTCTAGTTGAAGAAAGTAAATCCACAGGAAAAAAATATATATGAGGCAGATCAATTCGCCATTATGAGCATTGGGACCTGTTCATGCGGTACTATTGCTAATAAATGTAAATTTGATTCTGTTCTTAAAACATGGAACTTAAGATTTGTGAAAGAGACAAAAATTTAGAGCAAAATAAAATCAAACCTGTCTGCGGACTCACAATTTGCATGGCACAAGGTTAGTTTTTGTGTTGTTAAAAAAGAAAGCAGGTAACGTTTATTTATGTATTTTTTTAACTCAAGATAACAGATAAAAACAAACTTGCATTGTTGCTTACATTCCTCAGGAAAAGGCCCCGAGTGCTCTGACTTCAATTTGTGCATAGCTGCTCAGCATATCCAGGTGGGACTGTCTCATTTGTTTTTGCATCAGAAACCTGACACAGGAGGAGTCAGTGGTGAGACAGACATTCTACCACAATTTATACAAGTTGCCATTATGGGTTTTCATACTCTTGAAAACCTCTCCATCTTCCTTGTTCTGTTTTTCCTCATTAACAAATCATCCTTTCTTCTGCTATGGGTATACAAACATTGTCTTTATGTTTTTTTTAAACTATATTGGTTTGTTGTTCAGTGAGATTATGCTGATCCTCGTTCTCTGCAGGACCAGTCTCAACAATTACTCATCAACTGTGACTCACTTGTTACATATTGATAATTCAACTAGTCGGAAATATCATTGTGCAGCATTAACCTTTTCACTGCCATTACACGCACACATTCAAACACTCATTTTTGATTTGTAAAGCCTAAATTAGATAGATATAGAACACAAGACATCATACAATAGAGTAACCACAAGCTCCAAACTCTAAAGAAAAAAATAAGTTGGCAGATCATGTATTTCCAAACTGATGCAGTTTAAGATTGTAGAATATAGATTTAAAGGGTTAAAAAATATTGTAGGAGGTAGAA